TTTCATCGAAATCCTCAAGGTTCCCCGATAGTCTTTAGTAGGGGCATCCCCAAGTAAGGACTTCCTAATTACAATTTAGTCCTGGCCAGCGGATTGATTGCAAACCAGTACTTTCCATACTATTTGCCAAACTAGGTCTAGGACAGGCCTAGGCTTTCCACACTGCCCAGGTGGACAGTGAGGACCTGAAAAAACGAAGTAGTAGAGAAGTCTAGAAAAATTACGACGAAATATACAACCTATAATTACACTTCCGATACGTGAAAATTTATTGCACCATCGTAATTAATTTATTTACTGCTTACAGATAATTACATAAAATTACAAATATACACGTTACTCCTTGTACAACCGCGCCATTTTGATTTTTTCGTGCCAGCATACCAGGCACTCAAGCAGTCTTAACCAAGACGCCTTGAATACCTTGGTGCCCTTAGCAAACCGTGCTAGGGCTCTGAAGAAAAGCGTCGGGGGGTAACCCCGACGCAAGAGTTCCTGCTTCATGGCTATCACCGGAAGGATGATCGCGCTTTCGTTGTTGGTCATCTGTTGAATACGGTGGAAACTCCCCATGATAGCTCCGATCTTGACTTTCTTGTCGGAGCAAGAACAGAAGTCCTGGAAGCAACGAAACGTAAGCTGCGAACCCTGGTCGAGACAACTGTTCTTGACTTTCGGTTCCATAATGAACCGGATTCTTCCCACCGTGATAGTGACCTGTGCACCGATGAAGTCAATCGTATTAGATTCATCATCAGTGCGCACGAGTACCAGCTTGCTTCCATAACACTTGTTGAACTTCTCCAGGATCTGAATTGCCCTCTGTACAGATTCTTCCTTCCGTTGATGGAAGGCCACGACCAGTGACACATCATCCATGAATCTTACCCCATGCACTAGCCGTCTGTCTCTCCCGAGGGACTTCAGAAACTCAACTTCATACTTCGCACAGAGCAGACAAGCCAATGGGGGACTGGAGTTCTTCCCCATGGGCACTCCGACCCTCTGCCTGTAGAGTTTCTCTTTGCAGGAAGTGTATGTATGCCGCAGCTTGAACGCAATAAAGCGTATCAACAACCGGAACTCCATTTTAACATACCTCTTCCCGAACAACTTTGTTCCCAAGGAGACCAATTTCCTCCCCCTCCTGCTGACGATAATGCGGTGATAGCCTCTTCCTTCCCACTCCTCCAATAGCCAGCGCACTGCTTCTATGATAGCTGCATGCGGCAAGGAGGTAAATATTTTTTTGATGTCAAACCCACCTCCAATCACCATCGTATTGTCACCGAACAGTTGGAGTCTTTTCTCCGCTTGTTGTAAGTTCGGTTTGAGTTGCGCTGTGGCGATCAGGTTGAAGTGCGAGGAACCGGGGAGCTTGGCCAGCAAATAGTTTAGGGCCCTAGCCACCCACCGACTCCCTGTCTTCGTAGGCTCACTGCACGCAGGCGCAATCGGTCTCCACTTGGTAAGATCCTTGTGTTTGGGGAGGACATACGCCTTCCCAATGAGACCCTTGCTGTCCCAAGTTGCTAACTGCTCCAGTCCCAGTCCCTTGTAATCTTGCCTCATCTCCATTAATATCTCCTTCTCCTTGCTGACAACTATATCGTAAGCAGTATTCCAAGTGAACATCATGTCCAGTCCACGCTCATAAACTATTGGACACATCACAGCCAAATCACCCGCATTTCTGTCCACCGGAGTAATGGCCAACTCCTGCAGATTTCTCTTAACCTCAATGACCGGATCTTCATCTGTGTCACTTCTCATGCTGCATCCGTCCGAAAAACAATTTTTAAGCTTGAGGTCTTGAAGGTGTTTTCCCACTCTGCCTCCCAACACCGATGTAAGTCCTTGCCAAAAGCTGTCCCTCAGCTCATTCAAGGTTGTCCCCAACTTTGGACGCAAAACGTTCTTACCATTGAGCGCCACTCGAGGTACGTGCTCCACGTCAGCAGTCCTGGTAAGAACATGCCCTTCAGTACGCGGTAAGTTGAATCGTTCACAGGTGCAACTAAACTCCTCCCGTCGACTGAGCAACCTATGATTGCACAAAATATCGGAGACATTTCGGTTTCTCTGCCAGACAAATCTCAGCTTCCTGCTCAGTTTTCCTGCGATGGCAGGATGCAGTTCACAACTAGCGATCTTGCTAACCAATATATCTCTAACTTCTCGTTTCTTTATCTCCTTTCTGAATTTGACCTTAACAGTGATCTTCCTCCTCAAATTAACACGAGCCTTCTTCTTGCCTAGTACGCTTGTTTTTGAAGGTTCTTTACAAGTTGACCTTACAAGAGTGCGATGGCAGGATGCAGTTCACAACAGTGACCTTCACATCCTTTATCGTCTTCCTAGTACCCTTGTTTTTGAAGGTTCCTGCACTACTATACAGGTGCATGAGTTTATCGATAGACATACTGGATAACTCCGTACGCTTGAAGGCATTTCTAAAAGTTGACGCAGGTAACCCTTTCCTCTCTCCCTTGCCTTTTTAGTTAAAATAATAGGAGATACCCAAAACTGCCCTCCGGCTTCGAAAAACAGCTTAGCCTGCGCTAGCGCTATTTTACCGTCCTCCCCCACAACCGTGGATGACCCAAACAACCTCTTCACAACAGCCCAATCCTCTCCCCAAACTTCAACACCTTCACTGTACAGATAAGTACTTTTCCTACCCTCTGCAAGCGCTGTTTGCAGAATGCAAGTAAGACTAGCATTTCCCACTGGTCTGCTCCGAGACCAAAACAACAGTATTCCCGCTTGTTTCTTCTGCACATGCGTGACAGTTTTCTTCTTTCCCCTTTCTCTCTTGCCTTTCCTCTTTTTCGTCTTGCCAGTCCTGCGTGTACCGATGGTGTTCAATGATGGTGAGAAGCGCTTGATTAACGATTTTTCTAAGTTGGCAATGCCTTCAACATCGGTAGTCGCGATTGGAATGACGACGTACTTTCCGCAGCCGAATTTCTCCAGCCAGTTGTAGAGAATCGGTGCTTTCTTGTTGTTTCTTGCTTCAACACATCTAATGTGTTCCCACCACCTTTCAGTCGCTCCTCTGATGGATCTTCCAATGTACGTCCTCTTACACCAAGGTGAAACAAGGCAATAAACAACAGGCTGTTTCATGACGAACCAGTCCCAATTCTGCGGGACAATGTCAACGAGTTTCCTTGCCCAGGGTACTTGCCCACAAAACGTGAGCAAAACCGTTCCAGTTGCAAGCGCCTTCTCGATTGCCAACCTAAGTTTGACCAATCCGGCATGCCCCCACATAGCATCCCGTAGCTTGAGCAGCCCCACGATGGTGGTCCATGTCTGCTTTTCCGGGGGATGACACCATCATTGCGAGTGTTCCCCTTCGTAACGATCCGCCTCAGGCTGCAACTCCTCCAAGCCCTCACCATTATCGCTGCTGACCAAACCGCCTGTTCCTTCGTCACATAAGTAATGCCTTTTCCGTCACAAATCTTCTTCACCTCTCGAAAATCCTTGCTCATAAGCCTCTCTCTAGTCTCTCATATCTCTTGCACGATGCCTGTCTTACTGCACGAGGCGCCCGTAGCCCTCGCAACGTTGGTTGGCGTCTGCACCGCAGTCTTCTTTCTCTGGCTCATTTCATATTCCTCCCTCGTCTGCAATCTTGCCTCCTCTTCATACTCGTCCAAGTCCCCAAACCTTCTAGCCGTCCGCTTGCCTCTTGTCTTCCTTGGCGGCAATTTCCTTCCTTCTTCCACGAGCGCATCTTCATCACGGAGGTCATTCTCGAAGTCGACGTCGAGCTTGCCTCTGTCTCTTTTCGGAGTTTTCCCATTCATCGCCAAGGTCAGTTTCACCTCTGTCCGGATCTCAGCTTTAAAAGCACGTAGATCCCTAGCAACTGCCGCAATTGTCCTCATCTCAGCCTCTTCCGCCAAACGTTTTACAGGCTCGGTCTCTTGGAAACATCTCCTCTCCATATCCGCAATCATCCGTTTCATCTGTTCATCCCTCTGCTCCTGCTCAAGCAGCATCTTCCTTCGCTCAGCCTCCCTCTTTCGTTTCTCTTCTTCCGCTACCTTTCTTTCCTCTTCTTCCTGCTGTTTCTTTATTTGGTGGTCTGTCCATTCCTTGATCCTTCGGAAATCTTCATCCTTCTGCTGCCTCGTTTGCCAATATGACGTGTTGCTGTTGAACGTACCTTGCCCTTTGCTCGCTGTACATTCTCGGGCAAAGTGTCCTGTCTGCCCGCAGTTAAAGCACGTACCAGCGGGGTTTCCACTCGGTGTGCCCGCATTCGCCATGTCTCCCTCTCTTGTTCTTTCTCTTCCCACTCCCTCCCTCTCTCGCCCTTTCTATCTCCTTCTACGCGCTACTTTCCTATTCACAGTATCACGTGCTAGCCGTCCGTTGCCTACTAGAAGCCGTGCGTACAAGCTATTACCAGCCAACGCTCACGTTAAAACCTCACTGATCTACAATCTATGACACTAACCACTTGTCGACATAGCCACCAGTGTGAGTACACCCTCTTATCCGGTTACTACGCATCACAGAATAGTGAAAACAGTGGCCATAGACTGCTTCTCGTACAAGCATCGATATGTCATCATTACTTCTCCGCATGTACTGTTCTCAGCAAGAAAACGCGCATTATCCCCGACGCGTTTCGGCCAGGCTGCGCTCCCGGCCTTCCTCAGGGGGCTTCTCCCAAAATCGCCTTGCGGCGCCACCTAACTTTTCGACCAAGTATCTGAGAATAGAGGGCTGACGACCTTACCCTCTTGTTTATAGTAATCACCTAGCTACAGTCCCAGTCACACCCGCGTCGTCCTAGTCCGCTGCGTCATTCTGTTACGTATCGGCGCTATGCAGCGCGGAAATTTGAATTTCGAAGTTGCAGCCCGCCTGCAACAGATTTTCCCACCAAGTACCCTCACGGGTAATAGCACGGGAAGCGGCTCGCCCCAATATGTTCCCGGCCAGCTACACTGCCATGTTGGGCGACGTGCTTCGATATTCATTGTACTATCAGCTTAATAGCCATACTCTAATCAGTCGTGCCAAGTCCTACTCCGCTATAAATTTCCAAGCTGAAAAGTACTATTAATTCCAAAAACCAGCAGCTTTCAGACTATTCCCGCGTGGCTCGCAAAACTGACAAAATCCCGCGTACTTCCCTGTAACAACCTGACGTGGACTACAAAAATTTCGCCACCCAAAATTTCGAAATTGGAATTGACATCAGCCCGCCTTTCCTGACCCATTGCAGAGGTGGAACTACCTGCCCGTTGGACCCAGCTCCTCCGACATAATTTCATCGAAATCCTCAAGGTTCCCCGATAGTCTTTAGTAGGGGCATCCCCAAGTAAGGACTTCCTAATTACAATTTAGTCCTGGCCAGCGGATTAATTGCAAACCAGTACTTTCCGTACTATTTGCCAAACTAGGTCTAGGACAGGCCTAGGCTTTCCACACTGCCCAGGTGGACAGTGAGGACCTGAAAAAACGTAGTACAGAAGTCCAGAAAAATTACGGCGAAATATACAGCCTATAATTACACTTCCGATACGTGAAAATTTACTGCACCATCGTAATTAATTTATTTACTGCTTACAGATAATTACATAAAATTACAAATATACACGCTACTCCCTATACAGCCGCGCCATTTTGATTCTCCGTGCCAGCATACCAGGCACTCAAGAAGTCTTAACCAAGACGCCTTGAATGCCTTGGTGCCCTTAGCAAACCGTGCTAGGGCTCTGAAGAAAAAGAAGAAAAGGGGAGTGACAAAGACAAGGGAAGAGGTGACGAGAACGAAGACGAGGACTACAAGGGAGATGGAGGTGAAGGCAAGAGCAGAGGCAGCGTGGCACTCATAGACACGGCCGCGGTCATTTTCACCACAAAGTTGTAGTGGTCATCGTCTCTATAGTTGTGGCGGTCTTCGTTCCCCGTAGTGATGCTTGCCCGTAACGGACGTGCTTCGACGCAGCTTCGTGGCGTTGAGGTCTTCATCCTGGCAATTTGGCATTTCTTCCCCCGTCGAATGCGACTGAAACTGGCCGTACTGACAACCAGATGCGTTCATGTGACTAGTGGGCTGCGCATTACGTAAGTGGAAGTGAGGGAAACGGCGGAATGGCAGAAGAGACGTGGAGAAGACAACAGTGAAGGGAGAGTAGGGGTAACCGTTAGAAAGGAGAGGCGTTTTATTTATTTTATTTTATTTATTTATTTTATTTTTGTGGTCCGATGAGTAGGAAGGCGAAGTAGGCGCAGCGAGGGAAAAGTGAAAGAAAAGAGCGGAGAGGCTGGTTGATTCTGGGTATAGGATTGTACTACGTACATAGAGAGGATGGAATAATAATAGTGTAAAAAAAAAAAAAAAAGGATGTATCTTCCCACGTTCTAGCGGGAGATTCATCCTCGAATCTCGTGAAGGCCTTCTTCCTCGTCGGGCGTGTACCTCTACATGTTCTAGCAGAAGATTCATTCTCATTTTGCACATGTGATGAGGGGCGATCGCACTGCTCCCCGACATCGTTATGTTGTTCGGCGTGGTTGAGATCACGGTCACCGTGCTGATCGTCCAGATCCCGGCCTGGCTCCTCGTGGTGATGGCGATCCCTACGGTGCTCGTCCTCACGTCCATCATCGTGGCGGTCGTCACTTTCGAATCGCTCGTCATGCATGCTGTGGTGGTGCATGCCATCTCGCTGGTGGTGATCCTCCAGGGACTACTCCTCATAATCGACATTTGCGCCCCGGCGGTCGTCATCCTCGTTTTGGTAGTGCGATTCGTCCCGATGGTCTCTGTGATGGTACGCCTCGCCCCAGTGGTCTTCATCCGGACGAGCTAGCTTTCTTCCTGGCCTGGGATTGAATCTGGCCGTACTAACGGCCAGGTACTTTTATACCGCAGCCTTTGCAGCAATAGAGAGCGAGAGGGAGAAGATGGAGATACGGAGAGAGGAGTGGCATGCTCGATCGAGCAAAAGGAGAAGCGAGTCCGTATGTGTGTGTTTGTGTGTGTGTGTGTGTGTGTGTGTGTGTGTGTGTGTGTGTGAGAGAGAGAGAGAGAGAGAGAGAGAGAGAGAGAGAGACATACCTCCCTGTTCGCCGCGATTCCCCCCTCGGTCGGCATGGTGGTCGTCGTGGTTTTCATCGTGGTTTTCGTTGTCGTCAAGGCGGATATCCTATCCGTCCTCATCGTGAAGTTGGCCATCGTCGTTATCTCGTTGTAGTCATCCCGATCCCGTCCTTGCTCCTCGTCGTGATTCCACTTACAGGGGCGCCGCACTTGGCCAGGATCTTGTGGAAGATTCGTTGCACGCTTGCTCGCCGTATCTCCCATGTTCTAGGGGACGAGTCATTCCCATTTTTGATCCGATAGCGGGCGCAGCAGCCAGCGGGACAAACACCTGGCGTGCATTGGCCCAGGTTCTAGCGGAAGGTTCAATCTCATTTTGCACATTTGGTGAGCAGTGGAACGTGACCCATCATCAAGCCCTCCAGCGCATCGTTGTAATGTCCATCATCGAGACCAAGGTGTGATCCTCGTTGTTGGGATCGGGGGGGGTTGGTGGACGTGTTCTCCGTGCTGCTTTTCGTGATAGTCGTGGTCGTCGTTTTTTCGCCACGAGTGATCGCACGGTGCTGCTCATGTGGTTCGTCCTGGTGGTTTTCGCGGTCATCATCTTGATTGCAGTAATCTGCTCTTCGTCGAGCTTGGTGGTGGTGATATTCGAAATCGTGTCTGCAGCAGCGGCAGCAGCACAACTTAGGTATCGTGATCCTGCTCGTGCTTATCTTCGTGGTCCTCGTCTCCATTCCCGGTGGTGCTCGTCATTCGGGTCGGCCATACTTCGCACGGGTGGGTGGCTTACTCCTGAAAGATGCGCGCGCATACGAGAGAGAGAGAGAGAGAGAGAGAGAGAGAGAGAGAGAGAGAGAGAGAGAGAGGAGAGGGAGTAAGTAGGGGGTGAAGGTACTTACCTGGTAGTTGTGTGCCTGCTTACTTGGTCTATCTTTAACGTGCGCGTATCTGGATGACCTTGCGGCTAGGTGCATTCATGCACTGAGAGAGGGAGAACCGGTGCAGGGAAACTGACAAAGGCGAGCTGTGGGAAGAAGAGGGTTGACAGGAAAAGGAGGAGATGCGTTCATCCTGGGTAATCGTTATGGCGGTGTACCTTTCCATGTTCTAGCGGAAGATTCACTCTTCTTAAGGTGCTAGTGGTGACTCTGGTGAGTAGCCCAGCGAGGCCGATTAGCCGTACACTGCAGCCTGTCATCATGATCGTCTTCGTCAAGATCGAAGGCTCGATAGATGTCATCATGCTGTTCTTCGTGATGATCATGCTCATTGAGTCATTGAGATGTTCATCATGCCATTTGTCTCCAGCCCAAGCTTGCTGCAACTTTTGCCTGTTGTCTCCAGCCCAAGCTTGCTGCAACTTTTCAGCGGGTGTTGCCCTGTCCTTCACCTCAAGGCTGCTATTTTGAAGAGGTCTGCTGCTACAGTCCGCAGATTGCTGCTGTTTTCATAACAAGGCGGCTGTTGTTACATCAGGCGAGCTGTTGCTAGTCTGCAAAACAGTGCTGCTATCTTTTGGAGTTCAAGTTGCAGTTTCTTTTTTCAGACAGTTTCCGTAGTTCCTACGTAGTAAGGATTGACAGGTTATGGACTCTTCACTGGATCTTTGGTGTTGGGAGCCGGTGTTGCTAGTACGGTGATGGTGATTGGTTGGCAATGAGGTCAGCGTTGCGGTTGCGGTTGTTGAGGCTGGTGTTGTTGATTGGTGTTACTAAGGCTGGTGCTGGTACTATTGTCAGCAGCGGCAGACTGTTGCTGGCGTGTGATCAGGCATTGGTTGCAGTTGTTTTCAGCACCAACGGACTGCCTCTTGCTGCAGTTGGTTGGCCGCTCAATTGAGGAGATAGCAAGCGGTCCAAATTACGGCCGCAACTGAGAGTTGGAGGTTGGCCGCGACTGAGAGTTGGAGGTTGTCATTGCCGCTCGAATTGTGACCATGCTGCAGCATCTGCGACCGTCGATTTCAAGTTCTGCGATTCGCGACCATTGCGGGACCCTTCGAATCTGAAGGGAACAAGGTCCTCTCCACATGAGTCTTAGGGTACCCTTCCTAGTCTTGAGCGACTAAATTTACTCCCTTTACCCTTCTTACTCTAAGTCTAATCTGTGGTGCGGGAGAGGAAGGCATCAGGTGGGATTGCAACCCATAAAACCGCAGCAAGGCCATGTGGGGGGCTCGTCCACTGATTGCGGGAGCTCTGTCAGAGCCCAAGCAAGGTTCTGGAGCCAGGGAGCACTCAGGTATACAGACGTCTTATGTGTGTGATACCGTATTCCCTTGGTTGTACTACTCTCTAGTCCG